TTCTTTCTGTGCTTCCATACAGGAAACCGTCGTCTCATTACCACTCCCATGAGAGAAAGACATCATCATCATTAAATATCCGCAAACCAAGAAGTAAACCTTCAACAGAAAGGTAAGAGACTTTGTAAAGGATGTTCCTAAAAGAAAACTCCAGCTCTCTAAACATATGTATTAAGTTTTTAGAGACCTAAAATCGATGTCACGTCTCTGGGCTTAGCCCTCCCAAACTGACTGTCCTTCGGCAGTCCCATCAATGCATGAAATGACCAGCATTCGGAAACACAATAGGAGGTAATGCTTCATTTCCCAATATAGTTACAATAATTTACAAAAATGAAAAGCAAAACTAAATGAAATGTATTAAAATTTAAAATGTCTGCTTGTCGACCTCTCGTCAGTGCTGTACATGTTAAAACACCTCCTTTGAAAAACAGCACAGGTTCAACGATGGATTTTTGTTCACCTATTTTTTATTTATTTTATTGGCTACTTCCATTTTCTATTGTCTGTTTATTTTTTGAACTTGTATAACTTAAACATTCATAAAACTTGGCTTTGTTCTCTTCTAATTTACATTTTATTCCATTTCTTTCTTGAATTCCTACATAAATGTATACATATATAAAACTTGGCTCCTTCTCTTCCGATGTTCTGTTTCATTTTTTTTGAACTTATATAAATGTGCATGCATAAAACTTGGCTTCTTTCTCTTCAGATGTTTTGTTCTATTCCTTTCTTGAACGCATATATAATATATACCTAATAAACACTTCCTGAAGAATCTCATGATTAAAATGGATGTGTGTATGATCAGCTAAAAAAAAATATTTTTTTTTTTATCAGAGGAGGAGGTAATGCCTTTGAATAAACATTAATTAACGGTATCAGCATGAATACCGATATTGGATTCGACCACGTTGAGAAGAAATATGTAAATACCTTTTTGGAACCAGAAATATTGCTACGACGTAGCTAGCTTTCGATGTCATGGCGACATCTTCATTCAGCGTAGTGAATCAAACAACTCCGGTCATATGACCACATGGCGATCACAAAGCAGCAGGTACTAGGTCATCGTAGATTGATGGCAGATCGTATCCGGTAACTTTGTTATGGGATGGCTTTTTCCCCCGATTTGGATTGCTTCGCATATCTTCTTTTTCAAGAGCTGGTCCTCCTTGGTAATGATTTGGAAATTGTCCAAGCTGATGGAGTGTTGGTAATCTTGATGTGTTCACCAACCGCTGTTAAGGGGGCTAGCTTCATGTTGGAATGTTCTTTGAACGCGGTGCCCAGCGATCTGCTCGTAACGCCCCCATAATTATGTTGGTGGGGCGATCAGGACATGGAATCTTGTAGATAACACCGCATTTATTTTGATGAGGCGATGCCATGTTCTATGTAAAATAACTTTTAAAATACCATTCATTAAAGATGTTGAGTATCGTTACATATTTTGTATTAAAGGAATTAATATGGTCCCTGCTCGAGCGCTCTTGTGTATTTTAAGAGGAACCTTATTTTCTCTTTTGAACGTCTCCAAGCCGCTGGAACAAAAATCACAAAACGCGGCTAAATTGTCAAAATTTGGTAATTATTCCATAACAAAGTGTCACCTTTTTCTGTCGATGCATTATGCAAAGCCTCAAACTTGAAACTTCTGTATTGCTAAAACAAAAAAGCAATGAAAATAAAATAAGGGGTGGAATACCAAAATAGCACGGGAAAAGCAACTTTGTTAAAAGGCGTTGAAAGGGTTTCGGAGTTGCTGTATATTGGAATGATTTTCTGCTGTTGGCGTGTACCGTAACCTGAGAGTCTCAAAGATTGTACCCAAAAAAGAATATCTGTCCCCAAGAGCATAATGACTATTATCGAAAATATCACGCCATGTATCAAAGGTCCAAAACTGAAGTGTTTACCGCGTTCATGCGAATGTTTACAAAGTCTGATGCCGCTGGCTAGATAAAGCCAAATAAAAGTGGGTTTCCTGTGCACGGCTCCCGTTCTGTTTTGGCTTCGGGAGAGTTGGAGGGGAATCCGGCTCCGTACAGGCCCTTGTTCTGCTTCAATACAATACAATAAAATCAAACTTTATTATCCCATTGTGGACCAGCTAGTGGCCTTTTTACACAAATTTACGAACACATAAAAAGCATGAATGTAAAAACGGCACACATACAGACATACATAGCACATAAATACATCAAAAAATAACTCAAACAAAACAATCTTTAAGTAGGAAAATATATTATTTACTGTGTACCCGTTTGTTATTTCTATATGTTTTGCATACGAAGCCAACGTTTGTAGAATGTCCATTTGGTTGTGACATTACAATCTCCAAGAATGATTCTGTCATTCAGAGACGAAGCCGTATCGGGGATGAAAACCACCAAAGATAAACCCATGATCTGGTGTCCCGCCTCGTCACGTACATTAAACCAGTTAAAACAAGATCAGGTCAGACGTAGCGTGTGTCACCTTGCAAGGGTTCATTATCAAAACGAAAATAGTTATGCCTATCTCAGTTACAGTAAACATTATCTATTGTGTTTACTTAGAGGGGCGTATATCTGATTTACATACAATCCATTGCAGTAGGGCATTGAACGCCAGCACATAGACAACTTCTACCTAGTTTTCCTCTCTGCGAGTGAACTTCATACCTTCCTTCAACTCGGAAAATACCACAATGCTGCAAAAGACCATGCAGGATTGGGGTTCAGGAAGAGGGCGTTTTTCTCTGTGATTCTGTACAGACAACCCGCTTTCTGATTACATGAAAACCAAAAAACCAACCTTTGAAAGAAGGGCTTTTTTTCTTAACAACATCTCCCTGAAAGGAAACTCCAGCCATCACATATGTAATTTAATGTGACCTCGCAGTTGTTGTGGTCGGTTTAACGTACAAACTTGAGCAAAAAAAGGAGATATTTTTCTTTGCTCGCCACGCCAAACCATTTCTAGAAACTACTAAACTATCGACGATTACTGTGGTAAACGCCAGTCGGGTTTTTCTTGGAAAAAGAGGGTCATCGAAACGATGGATCCGAAGACAATCAAAACAGACACATGAAAGTTAGAGATAAACAGCAATGACATTTGTGACTGGCTCCATAAAAAAAGGGTATTATGTCACAAAAAACTGAAATTGAGTTATATACATGGTTGGAAAGCCCACAACGTAAGCTTTCATTTGGTATATAATAGAGTTCCATAGCCCTTCCCGTTCTGGATCGAGATATGACATATTTGCATATTAAGTACTTCCTTGGAGTTCAAATTACACAACTGAGAAAACAGGCTTTGAAATAGCCGGCTTTGTTGTAGAACAACAGAACGATGCACACAAAATGGCTGTTTTTCCACTTTGTTCATCAAAATCAACATTTCTGTGAATGACACCTGAAACTGTAGGTATTAAAGATGTCATTTGTGATAAAAAATTAAAATAACATTTTGACGAAATGTTCACCCTCTCAATGTTGAGCGGGCCATTACACAATGATGCTCAGCACGACTTAATACCCTTTTTTGTGGAGCCGGTCACATTTATTCATTTCAAATGAGGGTTATAATTGTAAGTTAATATCGAAGGATTTTATGAATCATTGACTCTTTCCAGCTACTTGTGTAAAAGCTGAGTGAACTTGTGCAATACTTTTACGAGACTCGTGACAGTGGACGTTACTTTGACTAAAACTATACATAATTTTCCCCTATTTTCACAGTAATGCCAAAGACGTCAAACAGAAACTGCAGGTCTTTGTCCGCACTCCCTCCTCACATAAACCCAAGACACTTTATTTCGAACTCCATCCCGAGACATCCGTCTCATCTCTGAAAGAGATAATCCAGAAAAAGATCGGTGTGGAGGCACGATATCAGCGTCTGTACATCAGGGAAATCTTCCAGGTAGGTATGTTTTCATTAATAATACCGGTACGGATAAGTTGTTCAATTTGAAATATCAAAACCTAGATTTTCGCATTGCGGTATTTTAGAAAAGGTAATGTAGAATGCAAGATCTCATATTATTTTCACGTTTTAAACAGTATTTTCAAAAAAATCACAGTCCCTCCTTTTACACTATGAAAGGCTTCAACGAACGTTAATTGCTGGAAGTTTGAATGATTAACCTTTTATATCCTCCCTGTTTCTCTTGATTATGTAATTTACTTTCATACATTATTCACTTTGTTAGCTCTGTGACTTGCTCACACTTGAGGAGAATGGTGTCGACAAAAAGGAAATCATCTCTCTCCGTCTGTCAGTAGAAGACCCAAAAGGTAAATGATAGAGGTTAATAAGGAATAAATGTTCAAATAAATAAACAATCTGAATGTTATTAATAAAGAACAAGAGTCGCTTTTTGTTGTAGCTGATGTTAATAAGTATTTAAGTTGCAAGTTATAAGTAAAAATGTTTCACAGAAGTTAAAAGATAATGTTTTCGGCAGATAAAGCTAACATTGATGATGAGTACCTCAAGGACTTGTCATCGAAAATTGAATCGTCGTGGAAAGAACTTGCCAAACACCTAGGATTTGAAGACGCGGAAATTGCAGACATCCAAACCACCAACAAAGGCAGCACTAAAGAGAGCCGTCACATGCTACTCACTTGGTGGGAAAAGACGACAAATCGCGACGAAGCAGCTCAGAAGCTGAGACGAGCATTGGAGGCCATGGGGATGACTGACTTGGCCCAAAATGTACCGGGTGAGCTAAAATGGGGAAAAGCGGATTTCTTATGATTATGAGTGATATTTCACTACATTTTACATTAGACGATATAATTTTGAATGTATATGGTACCCAGATTTCATACCAAACACATAAGCAGTTTAACTGAAATTGTTAAAAACGTTTTATTGTTAAAAAAAAAACGGAGACAGCAACAAATTATTAAGAAGTACATAAAACGTTACAATTATACATTATTCAATACAATTATGATACACTCTGTTTTCCTTCTTACATCAGTAACGAGCAAATCTAGAGACGAAGCAGGTGGACCCGAGCCAGAAAGGCGTCAAGATGCAGGAGTTGACGAGGAGAGCAAACAAAACGGGGCGGCATCAACCGAGGAAGAGAAACTGAACGAGGAACAAGTTGGTGATCAAGACAAACCTCGGCTTATCAGGTAAAACATGTTTGAACGCTGGTATTCGTACTGCACCTCGTGTTTGAAGAATTAGCAAATATCCGGTGTTTTTTTTTTAGATAACTAAACTCCATTGGAAAGCAAAATATCTTCACTTTAATAATTAGTGTAGTGAATGGTCACATATAAGTTGATGGTCTTAACCTTTATTCCTTTACTTATATATGTCAATTCAAACATTAAAAGAGCCTTAACAAGCTAAATCTCTTTTCTGACAGTCGCAGATATTTGCAAGTCTTCATCCGAGGTCACTGCTTACAAAAACCAAAGATAATTTGTTTGCGATTGGATCCAGAGACATCTGTCTTGATCTTAAAAGTGATAATAAGCGAGAAAATCGGTGTGCATCCTCAGCAACAACGACTGTTCATCCGAAGAAACTTTCGTAACTTTGAGGTAAAGAAGGCTCCATATTTTAAAAAGCAACCATGTTGCGAAGTACCAATAAAAATTCCAATGAATTAAAGACCATGCATTATTGGTCGTTATGACAACCTTCTGATTCAAGTGACAGTCGTGTACAGATAGTGCTGCTTTTGATGTCGGCACACTGGAGTTTACGCACTTATGTTCAAGAAATTTAATAGTGGTTGGCTTTACCCCCACCGATTTAGTTTCAAGATGAAAACGCACCACAAAAAGTTACATTTATATTTAGATATTGAACCAGTGTAATGTAATCTGAAACCCCAAACTATCGTTTAAAATGCTTCGAAAAATGTGTTCATTAAGAATCTTATTTCTTTTGCCAGCTCCACAACTTGCTGACACTTCACGACTGTGGAATTCATCAGGACGAGAACATCTCACTCCGTCTGTGTACCGATGGCCTACTGGGCGGGGGACCAAAAGGTACATGCTTATGAGAACAATAACCTTGCAAGATGGAGAACAAAATGCGTTTAGCCCTCACAATTTAGCTGGGAATGCCACATCCGCTCCTCAAACTAGATTAATGTCACGGGAAAAGAGCGGTATAAGCAAACAGAAAAGGAAATGATTAAACACGATTGATGCTCTAACGTTATATATTACTTAGCATTGGTACAAGTATAAGTATGTAAATTAATGTCACCGCCTCCTTCTCTGATGCAATTCAATAAGGACCACTACAGATATAAGCGATTACTTAAGGAAATCAGATTCATTATTAATTTGTTTGCTATTTCCTTGTGTACATTGTTCATTTCTTTTATGAAATTTCAAACGAAAAGGCATCTATTTCAAACGAAAAGACATGTATTGCTTTTTACCGACAAAGAGGTTTCGTTTTTATTTGGCAGACAAACACCCTGTCGGTGATCAGTTCTTTCGAGACATAGCTTCGAAAACTGAATCATTCTGGGAACAGTTGGCCAAATCCCTGGGATACGGAGAAGACGAAATCAAGCAATTCCAAAAAATCTGCCAAGAAAACAAAAAAAGGAGCCTACAGATGCTGCTTTCTTGGTGGATAAAGCAAACAAATCGCGAGGAAGGATTTCAGAATTTGAAGGATGCATTAAATTCAATCGAGCGTGCTGAGCTGGCTTTAATGGTCCCTTCTGAAGAGCAATGGAGGATGAAACAGGAAGAAGTTGCAGAAAGAGAGAAAAGGAGAGCATCATCTGAAGGACGCGGACCAAGACAGGAGGAAACTGCTCATCGACTACATCAGACTACAGGGACTACATCATCTGAGAATCAGAGAACGTGCCAGGAGGACGTTACACATCGAGACAAGCACGAATCATCGGTACAAATGAGAGGGGCTCAAGAACAGAGCAGGAAGAGAGGAGCTACATCATCTAAAGGACAGAGAGCGAGACGAGATGAAGTTGCTCATCGAGACAAACCTACACCAAAGGTACTAATTAGAGGGGCTAAAGAACAGAGCAGGAAGAGAAGAGCTACGTCATCTGAGGACCAGAGACCAGAGGAAGTTACTCACAGAGACAATTCTCAATCAGAGGTACAAATGGGAGGGGCTAAAAAAAAAATCAAGCAGAATGAGACTACATCATCTGAGGACCAGAGAAAGGGACGACAGGAAGCTGCTTATCGAGACAAACCTCAACCACTGGTTCATGTGGGAGTGCCAGGGACAGAAAGCAGACCAGGTAAATAATTACGAGAAATCCAATATATGTTTTATCTTTCTCTCGCTTGCTATTTTCATTCTATTGTTTTTAATTTCTATTATCAAAAATCAAATTGTTAAAGATGTACTGTCGTGCTCTTCAACAAATTTGCAATTTTGCTCCCAACAAGTGTTCAACTTAAATGTTATATATTTAAGATAAAAATACTATACTTCTGGTTTTAGGCAGCAGCGAACCTCCGACTCTGGGTTCTTTTTCAGCGCATAGATATCCGGTTAGCGAGTAGACGTTGTTCCCGGTTACCTAAAATGTGGAGGGAATCAATGTTTTCTTCTTCAGGCTAGTCAAATAATTTTTTTCGGGGGGGGGGGGAGCTTAAATCGGTTAGGGTTCAGATTTGGTTTATATATTTAATGTTTTGGATTAGTTTTGGGGTCGGTTTGGCCAGGTCAGCCCCACCCGATATAGTAGTACGCACGTTTCTTATGTTGGAACATAACAACCGGAGTATCTTTAGAGATGACCAGAAATGTACACGCTCTCGTTCCGAATACATTCTAACAATAGTAATTATGACTTCAAATTAAATTGAAAGCACTTTGTTCATGTTGCAATGTATTTGTTTTCATTTACAGATACATTACCCGAAGACAAAGCCATTTGGAATGATTCTAAGAAGATCGGAACACACTGGGTAGAATTGGCCTTAAACTTAAATTCCTCTAAAGAAGATATTGACATAATTAAGGCTAATCATTCCAACGATGTGGTATGGCAATGCTTTGAGATGTTAAGCGCATGGTGGAGAAAGCAGGACAATTACAAAGAAGCAAGACAGACGTTGGAGAAGGCTCTGATTGATTCGGGCAGGAACGACTTGGTTCGGGGCACGTCAGGTATGCTAAGTCATTAAAGAAAATTTGGCAAACTGTACATTTACATTTGACAATGCAAACAAATTGAAGTTGGTCAGACAAGATAAATCAAGCCATTAAAATAGCCAGCGTGTAATCAAGACTACTCACATGTCTATGTTTTATATTGTCCCAGCCACATGGTAGGCATGCCCGAGGTCTAGTCGTCTATCACTAGATTCTATAGTTTGAACTATAGAATCTAGTGATCTCTAACTTGGCCAGTCTTAACCTTTCAGGAAATAATAAGTGAGCTGTTCACTGCAGAGCACTGACATTGAACACCTTGCTGCAGCAGTAGGTCCAACTTCTACGATTAAAGGGTTGGCAAACTTGGTCAATCTGGACCTTTCATGCAATATAAGGATTAGGTGATAACGCCAGAATAATATGGGCGGCTAGTTTGCAGATGATGATTCATTTCAAGAAGTTGTATATGGGACATTGTAACATTTACAGTGGCGATGTGAAATATATCTGTGAGTCAGTAAGTCGCATTTAGTTACTGAATAATCGTAGCAACCTTGAACTTCATAAGTCAAAATATCGCAGCCCGCCATCCACGGATGAAGTATTTTTGGTAACGGAGTTTTTCGAGTTTTTTGTTTTGGAACTCAAATAAAATGGCTGAATGTAGGGAGGGGCTGGGTGCAGTTCGTGAAGAGAATTGATCGCTCCGAACACAGACATGTTTACGTTACATACGTGCATACATAGTGTGGACATTCCTTGGTTTTTGTGTAGTTAAGAAAAACCTGTAAAAAAAACCCCTCGTTTTACTTTCCATGATCCCTTTAGTGTTTCTCTTCATTCTGCCACAGATAAACCTAACCCAAAAATGCCTCTTAACATTTTTTTCGAAAGAGGAGAAAAAATTGTGTGGACGTTGGCAAGTCCAAACAACGTCGCTGCTTTGGTTTATGTGGACCTCTTTTGTTCGGAAGTCCACACAGTGAAAGTAATGCTTGTACACCCATACAGACATACATACTCACGCACGCACAGAAGAAGAATAGGGCCCACGGGTTGAGGTTCATCGGAAAATAGAAATCATCCGCCCTTTCAAATGTTGGCTTTGCCCAACCTCTGCACTGGAAATGGCAATATCCGACTAATTTCAATTCAAACGATGTTATGATGGTAAGATGCTTAGTAGTGCAAGTTTTCTAACGGGAAGTCTTTAGACGTGAAAATCAACCACAATGGCAGTCATGTTCGCAAAATTGCAGAAAAGTAAATGGCTTTCAGCATCTCATTCACATTTCCACGATTACTACTAACTACGTGACATCTTATGACATCTTAAATATGGATTAATAACCATAGATGTAACCAACGTTGGAGAGATGGAAAATTCCATTTCCTCCGGCTGCATATTTAAGGCGCCAGGAAACAACTTGACAGCAACGCATTTTGCTAAGATGGTTGTTGTGTTTGACCCACCCACTTCTAAAAACTTCATTAGAGCTGCGATTTGATATGTTTCAGTGAATGGGCTGACGACTACAGAAAATAATCCGTCAGTCGATATAAGGCAGGCAGTGTAATTGACGTTATTGATTGGATGTCCTTTGTATTTCTCTTCACAGCAGAAATGCGCCAATCAAGTGTGGAGCCAGGTCGCAGTTCTAGGACATCACACGAGACTCAATTTGGTGATCCAGCCCAGCTTGCTGCAGACAAGTGTGAGGAGAAACTAAAAGATACGTATACTAGTACGGGTAGCTATGTGCAGATGCTTCCATGGGTCGATGACGACCAAATGCATATCATGGACATCTACACAAAGCTACAACTACAGAAGGATGATGATTATGATGATTTGAAGGGAGAGGTAAAATCGTACTCGGACATCTTCAAACTTCAAACAAGAGAGGGTCATCCAATTATACGGGCGATTTTAAGAGGATTGCCTGGGCTAGGGAAAACGACCCTTTTTGACAAAATTGCTTACGATTGGGCTTGTGACTCTGATTCTGTACTAAGAAAGTACAAGCTTGTTTTTGTTCTGAAAATGCATTCTCTCAAACAAGAGTCAGATGTTACTGATGCACTGTTTGATCAGTTACTGGATGAAATTAATGTGAATAGGGACGATTTGAAATCCTTCATTAAAGCCCATCCCCACAAAGTGTTGTTTCTGTTGGATGGTTTTGATGAATTCATGACGACCGAACTTGATAAGACAAAGTTCGGGTCTCTCCTCAAAATGCTTAATCGAAAGGGAGAGTACGAAAAATGCTGTGTACTTGTTACCACCCGCCCCTCTCATTATGACAGACTGGTAAAGCATATCTTGATTCAGAGGCCATTTTGCCTTGTGGATGTTTTGGGGTTTAGCAAACACAATATTAAAGTATATACAAACAAATTTTACTCAAAAGAACCATCCAAAGCTAATGGGCTTCTTAATAGGATTACATCCTCAGAGGTCCTGTCCGATTTGGCAAAAAGTCCCATGCTGTTGTTGTTGATGTGTTTATTGTGGAGAGAGAGTTCTACACTGCCTAACACTCTGTCGCGACTGTACGACGAGGCACTGAAATACATATTTAGACGAAAGACAAACATGTCAGAAGCAGAAATCTCAAGGCTTGTTATTGCAATTGGAAAGGTTGCTTTGAATGGTATACTTTCGTCTGATCAAAAGCTTTCATTTCAAGAGGATGAATTTGACCAGAAAGAGCTTGAAATGGCCATACAAGCTGGCATCCTCACCAGCCAGCGAGTCTTTAAGAGGATGGACGCTTGTAAAAGTGTTTATTTCATTCACAAGACATTTCAGGAATTTTGCGCTGCGATGTACTACCGAAGTTTAGATGAACATGATATACATCAATTCGCAACGTTCTTCAAACACACTACATCGGGTTTTGAATATCTTCTGCGTTTTTGTTGCGCTGACAATGACGGGCCTCGCACAGAGTCAATTTTGGACATTTTATTGGACAAAGAAAATACCAAAGGAATTCTTGGGTGTGACGGTAATGAAAATTCGGATGGTTACAGCTTAGAGTTAGCCCTGAATTGCTACTTCGAGAGCCAGTGCCAGACTTTGCCACCAGAACACTTAATAGATTCTATTCTAAGCGATACACTCACGATTAACACTTTGAGCAGCGATACCTTGACATCGTTGATGTACTTTTTAGATCACATTACCAAGGACAGAGAGGATGCTTACCTTAAGAAAGTACACGTGCTGCAGTTAAATGTCGACTTGAAAAGGTTTGGTGAAGAGTTTGCCAATTGTGCAAGTAGGATGACAAATGTTTCGAAATTTAAAGTATATTGGCGTTGCTCATTAACCGAGAAAAACATTGCAACCAGTGTAAGAAATAAAACACATTTGACAGAGCTGAATATCCAATATATAGATTTGGGCAGATGTACAGGTTTATCCTCAAGTATGA